AAGACTCTGACTGGGTTGATAATCTACGACTCTTTACTCTATCTTGACAATTGTAGAGATACATAGGTGCCTGATCGAACAACTAATCATACACTACAGGAATATTGAATCAAAACTAGATCATAAAGGTAGGAAGGTGATTGACTCTTTCTGCCGTCTCACTCTGTCAAGTGACAAATCTCACTCTACCAAGTGACAATCTGTTCAACTGTTTTCTTTTCTTTCCTGCATTTTAATCAGATTTTGAGTGGTTGACTGCCAACCCCATGGAAGAACCCTGCTTACCGCTAGCTAATAGTTTTAAGTAGGTTTATAAATTATTCTTTTGGAGAAGGATTCCAACGACAACACAAATCCTGCTTCACCAATGCACCTCTCCCAAATTAGTGTATCCATTCACATGGAAAAGATGGTAAGACTATATAAGTAGATGAGTGTTAGAACACTTTACATGTCCTTAGATACTTTGGAGGGGTAAAGTTGAGTTTGTGTTGTAGCTCTTTCCATCCCTGCTGTTCTTCATCAAATAAGAAAGCCTTGGTTTACCACCCTGTTACAGAGAGAGCCAGGGGAATTGAAATGCTAAAACATGTAGGAAGAGGATAAATTTTACAGACATTCAAAGATAAAGGCAGAAGAATAGAAGATGATACCTGATCAAATAAGTTCGATTCACAAGACCTTAGCTAATGAGCTTCAGGTGCTTGACCTACTTCCACTGGACAGAAAGCTATCAGATTTTGAAATTCCATCTGATATGCTCAAATCCACTAACTTCCCTTACAAATTTATCATAAACCCTTCGATTATAAACCTACCAAAGGGGAGATCAACAATAGACAATATCACCAGAATTTTAAAATTTCAACCATGAACAATTATGTAGTCCAGTTGGAATAACCAAAGGAAGACCTATTTAATTCTTTCGATTCAGAACCTTTAGTTTAAGAATAGAAGGAAACATTCTAAAAGACAAATTTAGTTTCGGGAGCCAAAAAACAGGCAGAACCACAGTCTGAAAGTCGAAAAGCATATAAAAAGAAACAATGAGATTAAAAAATTTAAATGATTTTCTCAACCTTGCAGGGTTACATTTTTGGACAATAGTACATGTTTGAGCATGTAGAGAACTCCAACTTAAGCGGAAAGTTTAGAGGAGGTAAAGTCGCAATATCTCTAGATAAAGAAATTTTTCTAAACGCCAAATCACCCTTTTCTTGTTCTAGAATTGAAGGAAATGGAGGAACGACATGGCTAGGGTTTCGTGCTTCGACAAAGAAGAAAAGAAATGATTGGGAATTAATTTGTGTATTCAATTCTGTAAACTTGTACTTACTAAGATTTACATTATAAATACAGTTATTTATACTTTACAAGTTTCTAATCTATGGCTATGATTATTTGTTAACTAACTAAACCAACAGTCAAAATTAAAACGTTAGTTAAGCTATACAATGTGAACAAGTATATTCCTATATACAGTACTAACACAAATCAAGTGAATGCTGTATAACATTATCATCTGAATCAATAGTATGCAGCTCATCTTGACATTCTACTATTGCTGCTGAATCACAAGCAGAGCTGTATTTGTTCATCCCCCTCAAGCTTAGGCTGAAGAAGATCTAGAAGACTGAGTTTGGACAATAAGAAGGAGAATTGTGGAGCAGCAAGGACTTTAGTAAACAGATCTGCTGGTTGTGCCTTAGAAGCAATACATTGAGGTAAGATAAATCCTGCTTTATATTGATTCCTGGTCACATGGCAATCAATGTCCAGGTACTTGGTTCGTTCATGGAAGGTTGGATTTTCAGTTATATGGATGGCTGACTGATTATCACATGAGAAAGAATAGGAAGAGACATCTGAACGTGAAGATCTTGCAAAATGTAGTAGATCCACTAAAGCTTACAGACTGTGGTGGCCATACTTCTATATTCTGCTTCACAGGAAAATCTAGAGACAGTGGTCTGCTTCTTTGTTTTCTAGGAGAAAAGAGAAGATAATAAAAAAAAAATGCAGTAGCCATTAGTAGAGAATCTGGTAGTGATACATTGCCCCCAATCAGCATCACAGAAGGAAGATAATTCCAAAGGAGAGTTCCTGGAATAAAACAGGCCAAGAGAAGGACATCCTTTGATATATTTCAACACATGCATGGCTCCTACCCAATGAACTTCTCTGGGAGAATTAACATACTGTGATAATTGATGAGTGGCATGAGTTAGTTCTGGCCGTGTAGATCCAAGATACAGCAATCTACCAATTAACCTTCTGTACTGACCAGGATCAGAAAGGAGAGGACTCTTCTCATCTTGTAAGTCTAACCCTTTTGATAATGGTGTGGGAACAGGCTTGCACCCCAGCAATCCAACATTGTCCAGTATGTCAAGGGCATATTTCCTTTAATTTAAAGCTATACCACTGGATGATCTAGCTATTTCAAGTCCCAAGAAATACTTATCAGGACCAATATCTTTGATAGTGGAAGTCTTGTGAAGAAAATCTTTGGCTTCCTGTATATGAATTTCGGATGAACCAGAGATCAAGACATCATCCACATAGACTAGAAGTACCAGGAAGACATCTGGGGTAGATTTGATGAACAAGCAGTGATCATGTGCTGATTGTTGAAAGCCAAAACCATGAAGAGCTTTACTGAACTCCAAGTTCCACTGCCTAGAAGCCTGTTTGAGGCCATACAGAGATTTGGTGAACTTAAAGACTTGAGAAGGTTGAGCTTGATCATATCCTGGTGGTGGCAGCATGTAAACTTCCTCCTCCAAGAAGCCATGGAGGAAAGCATTGTTTACATCTAATTGATGTAAATGCCAATCTTTTGTTGGTGCTAATGCCAACAAGATTCTAATAGTTACCAGTTTAGCAACAGGTGAAAAAGATTAATGGTAATCCTCACCTTCTACCTGAGTATATCCTTTAGCCACCAATCTAGCTTTGCATTTGTCAACTGTTCCATCAGGCTTGTATTTAACTCGATGTACCCACTTGTAGCCAATTGGTTTCTTGCACGGGGGAAGACCATTCATCTGCCAAGTCTGATTGTGTTCAAGTGCATCTAGTTCTTCTTTCATGGCTTCTCTCCATTCCAATTTAGTATATGCCTGTGAATAAGAATGTGGTTCTAGAACAGGAGACAGATTTGCTAAAAAAACTAACATATGCAGGCATCAAATGAGAAGATGTAAAGAATGGAAAAGAAGAAGGAGCCAGAAATTTTGTAGAAGGTGCAAGAACAGATGAATCAGAAGAATTGATGGCAGGAGAAATAATGGCTGTAGTAGCAAAACCTTCTAACCAACCAGGCTTTCTTTTGATTCTGGTACTAATCCTGGGAACAAATGAAGCTGGAGAAGAAGAGTGATCAGAACCTTCTGAATTAGAGGAAACAGGATTATCTGAGTTTGAAGAATCTTGATTTGGCAAGGATGAAGAAGGTGGTATATAAGATCAGAATCTGTTATGAAATCAATAGAAGGAATAGGAACTTTAGACACAGGAATCTGAGAAGATGAAAAAGGAGGAGTTGAGATGTGATAAGGAAAGTTTGTTTCCTGAAAAATCATATCTCTTGAAACTGTTACCTTATGTGTTCCAAGATTGTATATTTTGTAACCTTTTTGGCCGTGGGGATACCCTATAAACACTGCCTTGTAAGCCCTATGCTGGAATTTATCTTTGTGGGGGAGTGGGATCAGTCACAAAGGAAAGACAACCAAAGGTTCTAAGGTGGGAAAGATCTTGTGGTTTGGAGAAAAGAATCTCATACGGGGATTTCCAGTCAAGAACTGAGGTTGGCAATCTGTTTATAAGGTAAGTAGCAGTTAAAATGGCATCTCCCCAGAATTTTTTTTTTTTTGGCAAGGAAGATTGAATCATAAGGGATCTAGCTACTTGTAATAAATACTTATGCTTTCTTTCAACAATTCCGTTTTGTTGAGGATTATAGGCACAACTTTTCTGATGTAAACAATTGTAAGCAATCTTGGTTTATGAATTCTTTACCATTATCTGATCAAACAGTTTTAATAATGGCATTGAATTGAGTTTTTACAAGTGAAAAGAAATCTTGCAAAAGAGAACAACTTGTGTTTTATATCTGAGTAAAAAGGTCCATGTACAATGGCTGTGATCATCAACAATTGTCAAGAAAAAATGAGTGTTTGTAAGGTTTGGGTGTAAATAAGGCCCCCACAAATCTACATGTATAAGATCAAAGCAATTGCTTGCATAAGATAAACTATCTGGAAAACTCAGCCTTTGATGTTTTGCTAATGGACATATTTCACACAGAAAGTGTTTATCTAGCCGTAAAGCCATTTTACTCATGACTATACTAGAAGGATGACCTAAACGGCTGTGCCAAGTAGCAGCAATGACATCAGCCTTATTACATGTATCTGCAGCTAATAAGGTTTTGCTAACTAGATTATGAAGACTGATATTTGGAAGTACCAGCTGAAGATTCATTCTGATATGTGATGGATCAAAAGATCTCTTATTAAAAAAACTAAAGCCCTTTAAACACCATTCCAACTCCAATCACTTGATCAGTCAGAAGGTCCTGCATTATGTAGAAATCAGCCAAAAAGGTACAGAAACCCTTAGCTATTTGGGCCAACTTTCTGATAGATAAGAGATTGTATTTAAATGTTGGAACAAAAGGACACATATCCAAGGTAATTCGATTACACAAAGGAACAGAACCAATTTTAGTGACATATTGGATGCTGTCATCAGGTAAACAGATTCGTGTTTTGCAAGAAACAGGCAACAAATTAAGAAGTAAGGCCAAATTCATGTACATATGATTAGTAGCACCACCGTCTCCTATCCAAGATTCATCATCAAAATCACAAAAAAGTACTAAGTTCCTTAAGAGTTTGATAGACAGAACTACCTGCAAAGTCCATCAGATGAGCAAAATTGACTCTTTTGCTATCAAGTTCCTGCAATGTTGGATTCTGCATGATCCTGTTGAACTACAACTGCAGGTTGTTGAAGTTCATCGTCATGGTTTTTAAGTGAACCCCTGCAACCTGATTGCCTCCATCAACTGGTGTTTCCAGTTCAGCATTGTGAGCAAACACCTTCTTCTCTGCATTCAGATTTCTAGAACCACTATACCAGCTTGGAAAACCATGTAAGAAGAAGCAACTGTCCACTTCATGCCCTTCCCTGTGACAATGACTACATTTCACCTCTTGCTTCTTCTTCTTACCACCTTGATCAGTGTTACTTCCTTTCCAGATAGAAGCATTAGCAGGTTTCTTCTCAAATTTCACCAAGTAGGTAGAATTATCAACCGACTGCAACATTTGTGTTGAAGAAGGAACCTGCAAAGGAGGTACAGGACTATGAACATATACATGTACTTGAGCATTAAACACCACGTTCTGATGATGTTGTTGTGCAGCAAATCCAGGCAACTTTTTCTCAGCCTTCAGCAGAATGGCATACGCTTTGTTAAAAGGAGGTGGTGGCTCCATAATGAGGATTTGGTCCTTAAGTGCTTCATAGCTTTTGTTCATACCCATTAGAAATTCTATGAGCATATCTTCATCCTCTCTGGCCTTCAAGATTTTTGCTACCTCAGGAGGACATGCTGGAAGAGGACGATAGTGAGAATATTCATCCCAAACCTTCTTCAAAGCACTGTAGTATCTTACCAAAGGTGCATCTCCTTGAACAATACCAATCCTTTCCTTGCGCATCCGATACAGAGTATTCCCATTCGATGTTCCATACTTTTTAGCCAATTCGTCCCATAGTTCTTTAGGAGACAAGGTGTGCATATATCCATTAACTAATTCTTGACTCATAGTAGCTATTATCCAAGACTTCACTGTGAATCCACGTGCTTCCAGTGCCAGAATTGCAGTGTATTAACAGGCGGAGCTGGACAAGAACCATTGACGAATCCAAGCTTCATCTTGGACTCAAGAACTGTCTGAAATGATCTGCTCCAATCAAGATAATTTGATTCAGTTAACGGCATCGTCACCAGCATCATCCCAGGATGATCAGAACCGTGGATATGCAGACTTTCTTCCATGAATCTTTGTTCCTCTGTCATTCGATCTTCATTGCGATCTGCACGATTCGCATGATTAAGGCGTTTCTTCAAAAATTGAACCGATAGAATGCAATCGGACAGTGAGCGAAAGCGATTTACGGTCAGGAATCAGAAACGGAGCTCTGGTACCATCTAGAATTGAAGGAAATGGAAGAACGACATGGCTAGGGTTTCGTGCTTTGACAGAATTATATTACTCGGATTTTTGAAATCCGAGTTCTGATTAAAATTAAAGATTCGGATTTTTCAAATCCGAGTTTATATTTAATAATAAAATAATAATTACATAAATTTTGTTGAATAATAGTTTTTTAAAAATTCTTAAATGAACAGTAAAGCTCGGATTTGTAGAATCCGACTTTAGTTAAAAATTAATAAATCGCGGCGCGAAATTTTTGAATCCAAAAAACCAGAAGTCCGTAATCCGGTTTTAGGAATTCGGATTTTGGAAATCCGGCTGCCTTTAATTTTGGTTGGTGGAAGTAGGCATGTGCCTTAAATTGGAGGACGAAAAAATTAATAAAATAATCTTGAATTGACTAAATCCGGATTCATGAAATCCGAATCTAACGTAATTCAGATTTGAAAATCCGAGTTACTTACGGACTCGGATTTCGTAAATCCGAGTTTAACGTGCTATAAAAGAAAAAAAATGTCAGGCAGTTCTCATTCGAGAACTAAGTTGGATTTTCTGTTTTTGCAGCTCAAACAAGGGCGAGTTGGAGTTTTTGATGCATTCTTGCCTCTAGATACGTGGAAATCGTTATTTGAAAGAGGTTAGATTGCAAAACCATGTTATTTACTTTAGTTTTGTGTTATTTTGATTGTTAGAATGATGTATGATAGATTAGGGTTTATGTTGGTTGGTTATTTGGATGTTTTAGGTGTTGATTTTGAGGTTAGAGATGAGAAATCATAGTTGTTCATGAGATATCGAAGTTGATTTATAAGTATTTTAGTATTTTATAGGTTTGTTGAATTATGAATGGAGTATGTATGGTGTATTTGTTGATTTTGTTATTAAGAAATGATTAGTTATTGATGTTTTTTTTAACAGTTATCAATGGCACGTAATGTATCATACATGCTTAATTTGTATCATACAAGTAAGTATGTGATAGAGAACGGTAGCATCAACACTTTTTCGAATATGCCGGATGATGGTTTGTTTGTCGAAGAAAGGTTGTCATATGAGGGATTGATTAGTAAGATTTGTATGACACTTGGTTCCCGATCCAGCACACATGAAACTCCACCTTTCTTTGATTTTCGATAGTCCCGGTGGTAGGCGTGTAGTGAAGATCAAGAATGATTCGCATGTAGAGTTCATGAACCGTGTAGATCAATGTCATGTTTGGATTTATACATAGATTTGGAAGATATCACTCAAGAAGAAAGAGAAGCGAGTTTGGAAAACGTGTCATTTGGTGGTTTTCCAAGGGGGGAACGTGCTAGTACTTCTTGAAACCGTAATGAAGAGGAGACACATTTATTTGCACAAAATGACTACCGGGAAGAGTCGGATTCCGACTACATAGCTTTAAGTGAAAGCGAAGAAGACTGTGATGTCTCCGGAGAGAGTGATTTTGAAGAAAGTGATGATGAAAGGTTGGAAAATGAGGAAAGGGATTGTAATCTATTCGCCCGACGCCATGTATATAGTAAGATGGGGAACTGGGATGCCTCATGTGTAGACAAGGATGAGTTTGCTCTTAAGATGTGGGATGAGACACCCGAAGGAATGGACATTGATGTTTGTTTCAAATCTCAATCAGAAGCAAAGCATGCTATGAAATTATGGAACATCCATCATAAAAGGGAATATACGGTCGCCGCGAGTAGTCCAAGGACGTGGGCTGTGCGGTGCAGAACATTTAATGTGGAAAGTGAGGATGGTGAACCACCATGTGAGTGGAAGATGCGTGTGTCATTGAAAGCTCACGGCCTTCATGAAATTGTGAGAAGGCATGATGCACATAATTGCATGACTCCTGTGAATGATAATGACAGTCGGTGTGTGGACGCGTCTTTGATTGCTAGACTCATCAGGAGAAAGGTTGAGAACAACGTAGATTATACGGTAGCCTCGACACAGAAAGATGTGAAGACCTTATTGAAAGTAGATGTGCCATACAAAAGGGCGTGGCACAGGAGGAGGAAAGCCATAGAAGTAGTCTCTGGTGATTGGACATCGAATTTCGAAGAACTTCCACGGTAAATATCAACTTTTATCCGTGTATTGAAATATTTTTAGTATTTTTATTTTTACATGTATTGAAATATTTTAACAATGACTGGTTGTTGTTTAGGTATATCGCTGCGCTTAAGTTTACTAATCCTGAGATTGTAGTAGAGTGGGAATGGAAGGAGGGACAAGAAGGTTGGAACAGGGGAAATAAGACATTTAAATACGTCTTCTGGTCATTTGCACCGGTGGCTGAGACGTTTTTTGAATGTCCACCGGTCATTTGTATCGATGGAACCTTTTTACGTGGTGGATACAAGGGTAAATTGCTTGTTGCGGTGGTCTATACCGCAAACAAGCACATTTTACCGGTTGTATTTGCGATTGTGGATGAGGAGACAGTAGAGAGTTGGACATTTTTTATGAGGAATTTGAGGTTGTGGGTTGTGTATGATAGAATCGTAAGTGTGATATCCGACCGGAATGCAGGGTTGTTGAGCGTAATGTCACAGATGGATGAATGGCGTCATTTAGGTGATGGTGGGCACTTTCTTTGCCTCCGCCACGTTCGCAGCAATCTTGTGTCACGATATAATAGCAAAAAGGTGAAGCGGTTATGTTGGGAGATGGGCACGACGTTTTCAAGAGTGAAATACAACCGTATGAGGGCAGAGCTTATTGAATTCAAACCTGCTGCATGGGAGTATCTTCGAGGGATTGGAGGGAGTAACTGGGCTCGATTGAAAGCCGGTCTTCGCCGTTGGGGCATAGCGACAACCAACATTTCTGAGAGTTACAACAATGCGTTGAAAGGGATCCATTTTTTACCAATTAGAGCCTTGATCGATGCAACCTTTTGCAAAACTGTTAAATTCTATAGAGAAGAACAATTGTCTGCGAGAAATTGCATGACACCGATCCCTCCTGAGTTATGGAAAAAATACGAGAAAATGAATGACAAAGCAGCTAGTTTTGAAGCCACCCCTTTCGATGGTGATGATGCTATGTGGCGTGTTGTTACTGCCACACGCCTAAGTGGCAGGGGTGGGTCTCTGCATACGGTGAACTACGATGAACATAGGTGTTCGTGCAGGAAGTGGCAAGAGTACCGGATGCCTTGTACGCACGCACTCCAAGTTTGTCGGAGAAAAGGGGATCGGCCTATTGATCTATACCATAGTGTGTGGCGCCTTGCAACGTGGCGCAGACAATTTGATTACACGGGCTTTGTTCCGGTTCCCGATGAGGAACAATGGCCGATGGTCTATTGGAACATCATTCCGAATTATGAGCGTCTTGTGTTGCATGCGGGACCGGGACGAAGACAAAAAAGGAGACATAGAATGCAAATGGATTACAGGGGATGCTGGAGCCGGGGGGAATGTTGGAGATGTGGACAACTAGGTCATGATGCCAATTCTTGTCCGTTCTCGCACCCAGGAGTAGATAGAAGACCTGTGAATGACAGCTGGAATTGAGAGTCATTTAGTGTTCTTGCAAGTTATTTAGTGTTTGATAAATTTATGTGAACATTGATAAATTCAGATTGTAATGTGAACATTGAATTGTTCGGATTGTAAAGTGTGATGAAATATGTACTATTTTTTCATAACAGGTTTTCGGATTGTGCAAAATACTCATCATTTTAAGGTTTTCTAAGGGATTCGGATTTCCTACATCCGAGCTCAGACTTTTTTTTTTTAATTTGCAAAGGACTCGGATTTCAAAAATCCGAATTAGTGAAACCCATCCGAGAGTTGTAATTTGAGGAGAAACAGGGGAGACCCGGATTTTAGAAATCCGAGCTCAGAGTTTTTGTGAATTTTTAAAGGACTCGGATTTCAAAAATCTGAATTGGTGAAACCCATCCGAGAGTTGCAATTTGAGGAGAAACAGGGGAGACTCGGATTTTAGAAATCCGAGCTTAGAGTTTTTTTGAATTTGCAAAGTACTCGGATTTCAAAAAGCTGAATTGGTGAAACCCATCCGAGAGTTGCAATTTGAGGAGAAACAGGGAAGACTCGGATTTTAGAAATCCGAGCTCAGAGTTTTTTTGAATTTGCAAAGTACTCGGATTTCAAAAATCCGAATTGGTGAAAAGCATCTGAGAGTTGCAATTTGAGGAGAAACAGTAAAAATTCGGATTTCGGTAATCCGAGCTCAGAGTTTCTTTCAATTTGCAAAGGAGTCGGATTTCAGAAATTCGAATTTGTGAAACCATCCGAGAGTTGAAATTTGAGGGAAACAGTGGAGACTCAGATTTAGCAAATCCGAGTTTGACGGGACTATATATATCCGGTCAACTCTTCCCCTCCCATTTTTCCCCCAAATCCAGATTTTAAAAACCCTAAAAACTTCCCTCCAATTCCACTCAATTCCGGCGACTCACTCCACTCAATCCGACGACTCCCTCCACTCCCTCCACTCAATCCGACGACCCTCCACTCCTCCCGGCGACTCCAATTCCATATTCCGGCGACCCTCCACTCCCTCTACTCAATCCGGCGACCCTCCACCCTCCACTCAATCCGGCGACCCTCCTTGCAATCCGGCGACTCCCTCCGACTCTCTCCACCTCCGGCGACTTCCTCCACTCCTCACGGTAAGTTGCAATTTTTGTTTCTCTCTTTATTTTTTTTTTTGTCAAATATTTTTTTCTTTGTGAAATCCGAGTTCTTTTTTTTTTCTAATGTGTATTGTTGTGGTTTAGTTTATTTTGAATTGTGTTGTATTGATTAGTGAATTGTGTTGGTTTGTGTTGTATTTATTAGTGAATTGTGTTGGTTTGTGTTGATATAGTGTTTGTGTTGGATTTAAGTTGTGTGAATTGTGAATTACGAATGTTAGTGGTGTTGATATAGTGTTTGTGTTGGATTATAGTTGTGTAAATTGTGAATGTATATAGTTTGGTAGTTTTGTTTATTTGGCCGAATGTATATGGTTTGGTAGTTAAATTTTTCGGCGAGTGTATATGGTTTGGTTGTTTTGTTTATTTGGCCGAATGTATATGGTTTGGAAGTTATATTTTTTGGCGAGTGTATATCGTTTGGTAGTTTTGTTATTTGGCCGAATGTATATGGTTTGGTTGAATTGTTTTTTTTGGCCGAGTGTACATCGTTTGGTAGTTTTGTTATTTGGCCGAATGTATATAGTTTGGTTGAATTGTTTTTTTTGGCCGAGTGTATATGGTATTTGGTTTGTGTATCATCATTATTTTGATTGAAGTGGTATTGGTTACCTTGTGTAGGATTGAAATGGCGACGCCGGCATCGGGCTCGCAATATGACTATCAACCTAAACATCTTCACCCGGGACCTATACAAGATAAAATGCTATATCGTCAAACAAAGCATAGGTCCCAAGCTGTCTATGAGAACAAGATACCGGACATTAAAACATTCCGCCTCAAGGGCTGTAGATACGACAGCGATTTTTGGGCATTACACAAAAATACGGCACCGGAGGTTAAGGAAGTCATTAGGAGATCCTGTTTTGAGGGGATCATGAAAGTAGGGTACAAAAGAGTTGATCTAGGCCTCATTACCGTGTTGGTGGAACGGTGGAGGCCAGAAACCCACACTTTCCATTTCAATTTCGGAGGTTGGGGATCATAAAAGTAGGGTACAAAAGAGTTGATCTAGGCCTCATTACAGTTCTTGGCCCAGGTTGAGGATTTGGATCAGTGTAGTCGATACAGTTGGGGATCGGCACTGCTGGCTAGTTTGTACTCTGGACTATGCGAGGCATCACAGTATACCATGCACGACGCCACTGGGTGTCTATATTTGCTACAGGTACGTATTAGTTTTCATTTTGTGTTTTAATTATTTTTCACTTTCGACGTTATAATTTGAAGTTTTAACATTATTATTGCAATTTACTAGGTATGGGCGTATGAGCAGATCGAGAGGATCGCGTCACAAAGAAAAGGAGTAGATTATTTGATTGATGAGACGCTCCATTAGCTCAGTGTACGTATTTTCAGTTCAAAATAACTCAACGTTTAATTCTATTTGTTTCTTATTCATTTATTTCACTAATTCAAATGTACTCCTTTGTGTATTAAGGTGGGAATGTAGGTACACCTACGGCGACGCCCCAAGGAGCAGCACTCCACCTTTTAGAGATCAATTAACAAGTCCGCGTGTTGAAGATGTAAGTACTTGTAATTTGGTATTTATATTTACTTTGAGATCAATTACCCCTTTCTTTTTGTTTCGGTTGTACCATCTAATGAAATTCTTTTCGTGCAGTTTCGGTGGCAACCATATGCACATGTCCTCCATAGACTCCCTGATTTCTGTACACAAGGCCAAGCCATTTGGACGACTAGGTGTTGGATGTTCTGTTGGGCTATTAGGGAACTCCACGAGTCGGGCAGAGTCGTAAGACAATTTGGATACATACAGGATGTTCCCAAGCGCCCCATGATTAAAGATAACGCAGCATTCCTTCTCGATCACGCCCACAGTATGTCTGGGTATCCTAGCAATAATTGGGTGGACCACCATTCTGCAGTACGTCGTCATTGGAATAGGAAAGAAGAGTTTGTGCTACGAGATTTGGAGGAAGAAGATCCTGGTTCCGTATATGAGGGGTACTATGAATGGTTCATGGTGAACACTGTCAGACTGATATCCTATCCTGGTAATTATGAACCTCAAGGATACGAGACTTCTTCCAGCCGCGTGAAATTATATGTGAGTTAATTCTAGATTTCTTTTATTATTTCTTATGTTTTCATTTTTTTTTTCATTTTTTATTTTTTTAGAACTTCACTCTCTTAATTAACGTCCCAATTTCTTTTCAGGGTGAAGTATTGAACAACATTCGCGTGAGTACCGAGAGGTTTAGAGAAAAACGAGAAGATGATAATCTCCTAGACGAAGAACTTGACAAGCATTTGGACGATATCATCAATCAAACACATGCTGTTTTAACCTTAGGCGCAAATGATGAGATGAAGGTGGAGGATACCCAAATCCTGGTTGATGAAGATCCATCTTTGCCCTCACAACCTCCGCCGGGTAAAAAAGCGAAACCGTGGTCGAGAGATAAGATTGGAGGAGGAAGAAAGAGGAAGGTCACAATCCCCCCTCGGACATCGCAACAACAAACTGAGGGTCAACAAAATGAGGATCAAGCACATTCTTCTCGAGGCTCGCGCATCTAGGTCGAGACTCATTTTGAAGAAGCTGGTAGACCCGAGACTCAGTTTGACCTTGGTGGACCCGAGACTCAGTTTGGTGGACAGTCGCAACCACAACCGGGAGTCAAATTTATCACCATGGGGGAGTCCCAATCCCAACCCCAAATCGAGGCTCAGTTTGGTGGACAGTCGCAACCACAACAGAGTTCAATACTCTCATATCTTAAGAGGGGAGACAGGATCCGGCAGGGCCCAAACAAATACACTCCGGATGCGCACAATAAAGGAAAATGGAAAAAATGAGACATTTCATTATTTTGCACATTTAAAGTAGTTTTTGTATTGATTTTTTTTTATGAAACTTGATTTGTTTTGTTGTTAATCGAATGCCGTTTATTGTTTTGTTGCCATTAAATTCCTGTTTTCCAATGTTTCATTGTTGTTGGTCTTTAAATGAGTTTAGGATCGTGTGAAAATCACCAATTTTTTTCGCTGACAAAGACTGGATTTGCGAAATCCGAACCCAGACTTTTGTAAAGGATTCGGATTTGAAATCGAGTCAGTAGCCAACCGAGAGTCACCATTTTTAGAAAAAGAGGAGATTCGGATTTGGTGTCCGAGTTACTCGCCCAAATTTAATTTTTCAACACATTTTTTTCTCTATCCGGAAATTAATATTTTATTCATAAAAACAGATTTATAAAATCCGGATTTAGATTAATTACACTAATTTTTGTCATTAACTTAATATCGGATTTACGTAACACAAAGTCGGATTTTAATAATCAGAATTTATTAGGGGTCGGATTTCCGAAATCCGAGTTTTGTCCCCATTCGGATTTTCTAAATCCGGGACATATAAATTTGTCTACAAAATTTTAAAAAACTTTATTTTTGTCCAGGTTTTTTTCTTCGAATATATTTAAGGAAAAAATTCTTTTATATTCTACCTAATTTCAAAACCTACATTTTAGTCCCTTAAGTCTCTAATTCCTTCAATCGAGTCCAGGGGCATGAAAACCTGCCCATATATAAAGTCCAACACGAGATACCCGAATCAGAAGGGTTAATTGAATAAGCCATTACTTACCTAGCAGCAGCGGCACCGTAGCAAAGCGCCTCCCTTTCACAATGAAGGTTTGAAATCTCACCGCCGTTATCTCTCTTATTACGCGCACACACACACACATTCACAGCCGAGAATCCTAACAACGTTTTTGATTTATGGCTTTTGGTTCCTAAACTAACATCTGAGCTCTTTGTTTCTTCCGTTTGGAATTTGCAGTTCAACATCGCTAATCCGACCACCGGTTGCCAGAAGAAACTGGAAATCGACGATGACCAGAAACTGTACGGTTTTTCGTTTCGCCTTCTTTTCTTTTTCTTTCATTATCGATTTTGTTTCTTTTTACATTTCCTCTTTTGTGGTGGTAGCAATTGGTTGTAGCTTAGGAATGTTTACTGTCTCTTTTATGGTCTGTTTATGCCATTTTATTGGACATGTTTGCTTATTGGTCGGATTCGTGTTGATACAGTGCGTTTGGATATCGGCGGTTTTTGATAGATATACTTCCAATCTATGGGTTTAGCTCGCTCTTTCTGGTTCTTTAAATAAAGTTAAGGTTAATATATATAAAGGATGCTTAAGGATATCTATGACTTGAAGAATGATATAGATTTAGAGGATTATGACAGCTCATTCTAATTTGCTACTGGCTTTGACTGTTGGAATCATTTTGTGGGAAATGTATGCTTCAGTAATTTCATGTTTTTTTGGTCTGTTATCTTCCGAAGATCTATACTTGAACCTGTCGGTGTGGTTGTGGAATAAAGTGTTCTAGTGTTCTCTTTGCCTGTCTTTTCAGCTTTGTGAGTAACTGATATCACTGTATTCCATCACATATTTTGTCAGCCCTGTAATTCTGGAAGCTATTGGTTCTGCTAACGCTTTTATTTGCTTCCTGTAAATATCTGGACTTTTCTCTGATCTGCAAACTAACTTGACAAGTTGTTCAAGTTTTTCCTGTAAATATCTGGACTTTTCTCTTGATCTGCCAACTAACTTGACAACTTGTTCAAATTTCAGCCGTGCTTTCTATGACAAGAGAATTTCTCAAGAAGTGAGCGGGGATGAATTGGGTGACGTATGTTCTCGCTTTCATCTCTTCCTGGATGAGTATTCTTGAGTTGAAATTTTTTCTGTTAACACAAACATGGATCTTGTGACAGGAATTCAAGGGTTATGTCTTCAAGATCATGGGAGGCTGTGATAAGCAGGGTTTCCCCATGAAGCAGGGTGTGTTGACTCCTGGACGTGTTCGCCTTCTTCTTCACCGAGGTGACTATCCTTCATTTTATGATCAACTGGATTTTGTTTTCATTTGGTTGTTATTACTTCATTTTATGATCAAATGGATTTTCTTTTCCTTTGGTATTGTCTTGTTAATCCAAGAGTTCCAATATTTGCAGGCACGCCTTGTTTCCGTGGCTATGGAAGGCGCAATGGAGAGCGTAGAAGGAAGTCTGTTCGTGGTTGTATTGTTAGCCCCGACCTCTCTGTCCTTAACTTGGTCATAGTGAAGAAAGGTGATGCCGATCTGCCTGGTCTCACTGACATCGAGAAACCCAGGATGAGGGGTCCAAAGAGGGCCTCAAAGATTAGGAAGCTCTTTAACCTTACCAAACAAGATGATGTTACAAAGTATGTTAACACATACCGCAGGACCTTTACCACCAAAAATGGTGAGATAGTGCTTACATTTTTCCTTCTCCATTTGCATACGTTTTATAAGTTTCATGGCCTTTTCGTTCAGACTCGCTGTTGGTGGTTAATTCCATGTTTTTTCCCAACAGGTAAGAAAGTCAGCAAGGCCCCTAAGATTCAGAGGCTTGTCACTCCTTTGACTCTTCAAAGGAAGAGAGCTAGAATTGCCGATAAGAAGAAGAGGATCGCCAAGGCTAAGACTGAAGCTGCTGAGTATCAGAAGCTTCTTGCCTCCAGGTTGAAGGAGCAACGTGATAGAAGAAGCGAGAGCTTGGCAAAGAAGAGGTCCAGGATTTCAGAGGCCAAGAAGTGAAGTTGTCTCAAGTCATTTTGACAGTGTCCCCTTATCACCCTAGTTCTTTTAAAGTCTATGGATTCTAAAACATACCAGAATTTTGCCTTTTGTTTAGATGTGGAGCTTATGCATTACTGTTTATTACTGCTTTAAGAGGTTTTGGTGACTGATGATTCAATGTCTTCACATATCAACTTATCAATTTTTTTAAGGGTGAATTACAATTTACCCCCCGAGTTTTGGCCCATTAACTAAATGCCTCTCTAGTTTTGGCGATACTACAATTTTCCCCTTTGACAGTGTGAAAAAGTTGGTCAACGCCGGAGAATGACGAAAAGCCCTGCACTTATACCAGCCAAAAAATAAAAAATAAAAAATGAAAAAGCTGAATATGAAAGGCTTCTCCGATCTTTCACGCACCGAAACCCAAATAGGAATTTGCCTTTTCCTCTCCACCCACGCAATTTCAAATTTGTCAAATTATAAAGCATGCAAATGAAGAATGTTGGAATGGACAAAGTCAAGGTCCATTAGGGATGTCAAAGTCAAGTCCAAACAGTTAGGTATTCAAACTTGAGTTCGACAAAAAAATAAGAAGTTCGTATTAAAGTTCGAATTCGGTCGAACATCTAAATTGAAGTTTGAGTTTGACTCGAAATAAAAACGAATAGCTCGAGTTCGGCTCGATTACTTCGAGTTTTTGCGTCTAATAAAAATTGAGCTCGAATAAATTTTAGTATTTGTCAATTTCAATTCAACAAGTTCAATCTATGTGTTCTATGAGCAAAATTTTTTGACAAATCATAAAAAATATGTATATTCCATTATTACATCTTGAAAATATAAGGGACAATAATTTTTAAAGAATAGAAAGAAAAGTTTTCATGAATTATATATTATTCATAATAAAAATAAAATAATTTATAATAAGCTCGAATAGGTTTGACGAGCTCTTGAATCAAGTATTGTGGTACTCGTGTTCGACTCGTCTATCTAATCGAGCTGTTCGAATTCGCTCGTGTTCGGTAATATTTCTTTATTTGATTTCCCTAAAAGATACTATCTCCGTCCAAAAAAAAAATAGTCCACATTAAGTTTGCGAATTTGTAGTAAAAACTGTACAAAACTCAAAACTCAATATGGACAATGTTTTTGGGACGGAGAGAGTACTACATTTTTATACATAATGATGGAGTGACATATATAAAACAAAATATTACTAATATAAATTGAAATTGTGCAATGTTTAATGTCAATATGTATTGTTATTTAAGTACCTTTAGAATGATTTTCGATTTTTCATTTCATATTTTACACTTCATCATAATTTATTAGAGATTGTCAATTTCATATTAATGTATTATATTTCGGCAATTTAATACTTCCGTTATATATTTAGCAAATTCTGGCCACTCGCCTGTATCACGGGCTAACTTTTCTCAAGTTAAAACCGTGCGGCACTAGCACTAAAACCTTGAACGATTCAAGTGCTAGCTCAACCTAAACCCTCAAAACGTGCAAAAGCTATGAATAACAAAACGAAGGTTGAAAGAAAGTATAGAAAGCTAAGAACAAGAAGGCATAAGAGTTTTAAGGAAGCTTGAGAAACCTTTTCTCGAACATGGGGGGAATGATTACAAATGAAGGTATTGGGGGTATTTATAGACTTACTCCCCAAGTATGAACACTAATAAAATATTACAAATCTAAATCATTCCCTGCAAGTTGGCTTGCAAGTTGCTTGCCTAGAAGTTTCTAACAAGTTGCCAAGTTGCCAAGTTGGCCACTTGGATTGCAAGTTGGCAAGTTGTCACCGAGTTGTCCCCAAGTTGTCTCCGAGTTGTCTCCAAGTTGTCAAGTTGTGCAAGTTGATAACTTGCGAGGCTAGAAGGTTATGCGGCAACCTAGAAGTCTCCACCCACTCTAGACCGTTCTGGAGATTTCCGAACATTGGGCTTGGCCAACACTTCCAATTGGGCTTAGGCCCAATAAGGTTATTGAGCTTGATCTTGGGCTTGGGCCATTTTGGGCCTAGAAAACCCTTGGGCCATGACATCCTCCCCCACCAAAATGGGGCATCGTCCCTGATGCTCTTTGTGCCAAAGTACCTCTCAAGTCCATAGAGAAAATTCTCTATATCCCTTGCCTTGCGGCTACCAGCATAAACATCTGGTTTTGGTGCATCGACCAATAGAGTTGGCCCTCTAACTCTGGTCATCTCTTGAGCACATAGAGCATCCACTCGTACCTTGAGTTGTTCCGTTTGTGCATGATAAGTCTCAAACTCACCTTTGAGTTTGAGCACATCACCTTGGAGCATGGTGACCTTGGCTGCATTTTTCCCGCAAGCCTTAATAATCCTCTCAAACACCCTGTTGAGTGCCCCAAGTATCTCTTCACGCATTTGTTGCATGATCTCTGTAATTCATCCTTGAATTGCTCCATGCATTCCTTAAAGATAACTTCCGCCTTGGAAGCATGCTCTTCCCAACGATCTTGATGGTCGGTCATAGCTAACTCCACCTTGGCAAGCCGTTTCTCAAAGTCGACCACAGGCTCGCGTACAACAGACTTGTCCCTACGAGTAGTTCTCCTAGTTACCCTCTATGGCTTCATGGAGACATGATCCCCCTCAAGCTCTGACCCTTTGCATAACCTCCAAAGGGCTAGACATAGCTATGCACGAAAGTAAACCAACGAACGGAAGCGTAAAACTATGTTGCACCACCAAGTATCGAGCCGAAGCTCTGATACCAACTGTCACGGACTAACTTTCTCAAGTTAAAACCGTGCGGTACTAGCTCTAAAATCTTGAACGATTCAAGTGCTAGCTCAGCTTAAACCCTCAAAACGTGCAAAAGTTATGGATAACAAACGAATGTTGAAAGAAAGTATGGAAAGCTAAGAACAAGAAGGCATAAGAGTTTTAGGGAAGCTTGAGAAACCTTTTCTCAAATATGGGGGGATGATTACAAACGAAGGTATTGGGGGTATTTATAGACTTACTCCCCAAGTATGAACATTAATAAAATATTACAAATCTAGATCATTCCCTACAAGTTGGCTTGCAAGTTGCTTGCCTAGAAGTTTCTAACAAGTTGCCAAGTTGGCCACTTGTATTGCAAGTTGGCAAATTGTCACCGAGTTGTCTCCAAGTTGTCAAGTTGTGCAAGTTAACAACTTGCGAGGCTAGAAGGTTCTGCGGTAACCTAGAAGTCTCCACCCACTCTAGGCCGTTCTGGAGATTTCCGAACATTGGGCTTGGCCAACACTTCCAATTGGGCCTAGGCCCAATAAGGTTATTGGGCTTAATCTTGGGTTTGGGCCATTTTAGGCCTAGAAAAAACCTGGGCCATGACATCTGGTCAAACTAGTACCACGCTTAATTAATTTAATTTTCTGATAATTTAATTTATATATGTTAATTTAATTAATAAGCCTAATTTATTAATTAAAATAAAGCATACATTTAAATTTTTAAGTTATTAAATAACAAACATAATTAATTTAATTTTGTATTTGATTATTCTACATAACTTAACAAAAATCAGTTAAACTAATCAAAAAGACATAAATATTTAGTCCGATCTCCTTCACTAAAAGGTAATACTACTGGAGTCCAGGTCTTGGACTCTTTCCTATTCGGGGTTATTTGGTCATTTTGGCTATGAGATCGGATTTGTTTTTTCTTTTTTCTTTTTTGGAAGAGGGAGATCGGATTTGGTCATTTTGATCGGGTTGTTTTTTCAGTCGGGTTATTTATTTCCCCCTTCCCCCAAATCCAACGCTACCGCGACGAATTTTCTCATGGCTTTTAATTTCCAGCCCCTCCCTCCCGTTCCAAATATCTTCATATTTCCGAAGTGATTTGGTCAGTTGGATGTCGAGGTGGTCGTGGATGCCGGGAAGGTGAAGTTTGAAGATGGAATCGATTCGTATTGTAATAACTACCAGCGAAAAAGGCATGACCGGTGATGAAGCCTGATTTGTATTATTGATGGCCGGAGAATGGCGACGCAGGACCCGGGATTGTGTGCTTTTTGTGATACTGACCCATGGAACTGTGAGTAGAAAGCTTTTATCCTTTTTATTTAGCTACTGAAATCTTAAATTAACTTTTCATTAAATTTATGAGCAGTCATGGAAAAAAGATTTGATGCTTGTTTTTTTTAAAAAAAAAGATTTGATTTTGGTTGAGGGGAACCCGTTGCTGTTGGTGCCCTCTTTATCTGTCATTGTTTTAGGTTAAAATAGTTATGGGAAAATTGTGTGTTGAAGCTGAAACTCTATCTTAGAGCCGGATTGCTTCTTGCTTTCCTATGTGGCTGTAATAACTTGGACCATGGAATCTCTGGATCGGATTCCTACTGCTTGAATGTGTTTTGAACTTTGTAATAATTTGGGGGAAAATTGTAAGTTTAGCATTTAATTCAATCTAAATGCTTCAGCCCCGGGTTTAACATGACCTTTGAAACACCAACAAGTTTCCCTTCTCTATCTAGAATTTGGAATTTTGATCTTATTTGATTTTTGAATGTAGCTATGTTACTGCTGTTCTGAAAACACTTTTTTGAGCTGGTTTCTTATTGTCATGGCATTTGCAAATTATTATATTCTTGCTCTTTCTGTCTCTATTAATTGGATTTTTAACTCTCTTATTAATATGTTAATTGATTCCTTAATTAACTTCAAAACATAGTGGGAGAGTGGTTTGTAAAGTTTGTTATGAGAACTAAAATTTTTGTGTGGTTTCTTGTTTGAACTGAGCATTGCCATTCTTCCACAAGTACAAGAAGCTTGGTCCATGAATTTCTTATTTCAGTTGGACATAGAATCTTGTAGCTTTTACTGATTTTTTTTTTTTTGCTCAAAATATGATTTGTTGCAGGATCTTGGAGATCTGGGCCTTGTTGCAAAAACGTGCCGGTCTTTTCAGTTTCTTATGTGCAAACTCGAAGTATTGACTGTTGCCAAAGTCTTTGACTCATTTCACCTAATCGCTAAGGTGCATTGTGTTT